GACTATAAAGGCGTGTATCAGGTACGAAACGAATCATGTACTGGATTATAGATAGTCAAGACGAGATGTGTACCTCTCGTAAAAGAGAAAGATATCCCAGGGCCCCTCGTGTGAGCGAGACTGTAGAAATGTGTGGTCGCACTATAGACAAACGTCGTCTATTTCAGACAGTCGAACTCAGTGAACGAGAAAGCAGTCGAATCAGATAAGGTGGCTTGTCCATGCCTTATATTCGACATATGATATCGTGATACAAAAGGATCATCAACCGGAATCATCGCTGACGTTCGTAAGATCACGAACAAACTCTATTCGAGATAGGTAGTCATAGTGCCTTGCTAGAGACCGCCTATGAATTGTATATCCGGAATAGAGATTTCGGGTTATACTGCTGTATCGAATGAGTCTAAAGGGTCACACACGCAGGGAAGGACGAAACGCGCGAGAAAACGACGGAAAAACCGAGACGGAAGGGGCTGGAACGGACGGATCGAAATGGCCAGACCCGACAGTCCGCTAGGTCTAGACCCGACGGTCCACGTTTAGACGCAGACCGTCCGTTCTAAGTGTTGGAACAGACGGTCCGCGTAGACGGCAGACCGTCCGTTATAGCTTGTCTGGAACGGAAGGTCCACGTGTGCAGACCGTCCATTCTGGCTTGCTGGAACGGACGGTCCTCGTGTATTTCTGGACCGTCCGTTCCGGCTTTCGGGTTTTCAGAAATTAGACCGAATTAGGGTTAAATCACCTTATAAGAAGGAGATTGAAACCCTAATTAATAATGAGACTTGTGCAGCCGTCTGGTACAGAACTTCGAGAGCTTTTGGTGAGATCCAAAAGAGTTCTAAGAGTTCCAAGTCTCGTTTTCTCAAAGCGCAAAACCGAATAGCAGATTCGGGTCCTAGCAGACAAGTTCCAACCGTTGGAATCCATCCCGAGGTGTGGATACATGTAGAGGGCGAGGTATTCTTCCTCCCTTTCGTGATCAGGCGAGTTCTTCAATTGATATAGGCCCCGGATCGATTGACGTAAGCGTTCTAACGTTTCTATGATTCATAAGAAGCATGGTTCTAGGGTTCCATAAATTTTTGTTTTACATCCGCTGCACAAACCCTAGAATCGATCTCTTAGGAATAGGATTCGCTCTAGAGATCCCAGGAAACCCAACAGTTCGATATACCCAAACAATATCATCCAGCTTAAGAGACCAATATTTTCGGGATTTAGACACTGTCTTTTCGAGTATGGATTTGATCTCGCAATTGAAAACTTCTACCATTCCACTGGTCTGAGGATGATAAGGCGTTGTAACCTTGTGTTTGACACCCTACTTGAGCAGGAGTGCCTTGATCGTGCGATTGATGAAGTGAGAACTGCCATCGCTGATGATGGCATGGGGGACACCGAATCGTGAGAATATAGTCCGTTTGAGCATTACACTACTGTCTTGTTGCCATTCGTGGAACTTGCTAGAACTGTTGGAGTTAAGCATGTTCCTCACGTGTGGGCTTTTGACTTGGTCATTTATGATTATTTTTATTTTAGTTTGAATAAGTCTTCAAAGACCTAGTATAACGCATATCTTCCATATTTCTAGTTTTTGTTTATTTTTTTATTCATTATAAATAAAAATGTAAGCTCAACATATGAATAGAGCGTGGGTTTTCCTTAAGAAATTTTCTCATCAGCGTATTGCTTTATTAAATTATTTTTTATGCATTCCATTATCTTTGTTCGATCTCTGGTTCATTTTTGAGTCTACATGTGGTATCAGAGCCACAGTTGAAAGATTCGGGGAAAGGAGTTTAAAAAAAAAATATGTCTCAGTCATACTAGAGTGTCGTTCAAAGCGGAGAAAACGGCGGTAACAGTAGCCAGAGTGCGACGGAAGTGAGACCGTTGATGAAAGAGGGTAGTGTAACCCTTCACTAACCGATCTTATCGAAAACCAATTTCGCCGTTTGGGCGATGAAGATGAGAATAAATATGAAAGCTCAAGGCGTATGGGAAGCTGTGGAGTCGCAAGGTCCGATTGATCCTCGACTCGACATGCTAGCCTTGACGGTGATATGCCAAGGGTTAGACGAAGAAACGCTACAACAGCTAGAAGAGAAAACTTCAGCAAAAGAAGTTTGGGATGCCCTCAGAACTATGCACCTAGGAGATGCTCAAGTTAAGAAGGTGCGAGCACAATCCTTACGAAGAGAATTCGAAGGGATCAGGATGAAGGAAAGTGAATCAGTTGATGAATTCACTGGTCGCATATCTACTGTGGTAAGCCAACTGACGGCTCTGGGAGAAACAGTAGGTGAGATTCAAGTAGTTGAAAAGATGCTCAGGTCTGTGACGGGAAAGTACCTCCAGTTAACTTCGATGATGGAACAGTTTAGAGATCTGACAAAGATGACTATCGAGGAAGTGAAGGGAGCACTCAAGGCGCATGAAGAACGCCTAAAGGATCTCGATTCGAGGGATGACAAACATGTGTTGTTAGCACGCGGTGAATGGAAAGGTCACGGTCCCGGCCGAGGAAAATGGCATGATAGAGGTCGTGGTCATTTAGGAGGTGACAGAGGTAATCAAAGGTTCGACATAAGTAAGGTGCAATGTTATAATTGTCATAATATGGACATTTCAAGGTGAATTGCAAGGAGAAACAAGTACATTTGGTGGAAGACGATGAGGAAGAAGCTACTTTGTGTTGGGTTTCCTGGGATCTCATAAGCGAATCCTATTCCTAAGAGATCAATTCTAGGGTTTGCGCAGCGGATGAAAAACAAAAATTTGATGAAACCCTAAAACCTATCATGCATGATCTTGTAGAAACGTTAGAACGCTTTCCTCAATCGATCCGGGGCCTGTACCACACACGTCTGATCACTGTAGGCAGGAAGAATACCTCGCCCTCTACACGTATCCACACCTCGGGATGGATTCCAACCTTTGGAACTTGTCTGCTAGGACTCGAATCTTCTATTCGATGATGTGCTTTGAGAAAACGTGACTTCAATCACTTCTTTTGCCCTCTAGACTCTCCAAAAGGTCTAAAGAAGTTCTCTAGGTCGGCCACCCCTTGTTAGGGTTAATTATCTCCTTTCATTAAAGTGATTAACCCTAATTTCGGAATTGAAAAA